TCTCTCTCCTCCTCTCTCTCTCTCTCTCTCTCTCTCAAGAGAATATTGTTAAAAACTTCAACGTTATTATCACATTTTCGTTTGAAAAAAAAAAAAAAAAAAAACGATTAAGAAAAATTATATTTCGCTATAAAAGAGATCAAAGTATTGTGCGAATCTTTTCCATCTTTACAGCATATTACAACTTAAAGCTTAAAGCTTCCCCTATTATACGTAATTTCAAATCCTTTCGACGTTCTCATTAAGACTTAGCGAACCATCGTCTTTCTTCTCGTGAAATTGATCGCGAATTCATTTTGTCCGATTCCGCGCAAGAGAACGATTCCCGCCATACGTTCTCGTGCGGATAAAAGAAAAGAGGGAGGGGAGGGGGAAGGTCGGCCACACCTGTTCAACCTTATTATTACCTAAGTTTAACCTAAACCAAATTAAAGAAAATTAATATTTTCCCGGACATTTTTTACAGACAAAAATCTACAACTTTTATCACCAAGGGCTGCTGCATATTTCAACGTTTCAACCGTAACAAATGATTCCACGTGATACCTTCGCGCCAGCCACCACAGGCCCGAGAAATATCTTCCATAGTTCGTCGTTTCGTTCCATAACGGAGAGGGGGAGGAGGAGAGGGGGAGGTCGCATTTGGCCGCGTAATAATTTGGCCATTTGGGAGCTAATTCGAGCGATCTATCCGTAAAAGAATTCGAGGCACGTTAAACATTCACGTTCTTTAGAAATTAACCCGTGGGCATAGGCGTAGGCCAGCAGGGAACAGAAGAGGATCGTGGAGAGCAATAGACAAACGGGGAGCGTAATTGTAGGCGCGGCGAAGATGCTTCGGCCGTGCCTTTTCCATTTGTCGAGGCAGCAAGCGTCGAAGCATCTTATACCGTTCGTCCTCGTAGGCATTCCAACCGGGAATTCTCGAAAGCCAGTTGTGCCGTAGAAACACGCGTCGCGGCCTGCCGCTCGCCGCTACTTTCCAAGTGTGCTCGTAAAATCGCCGTTTCCCTCGCTTTGTGTCCACCCGTTTTCGTGTCCACCCGAATTTTTCTTTCCTCCAGGGACCGTTCATCGAATACCAAAGTGCTTCACCGTCCACTCGTCCCGAAACACTTCCGAATCAGCAATAATTCTCGTGAGTAATCCTTGTCTATCATCCTCGCGATCGACGCTTTAACTTTTTTTTTTCTTCTTCTTTATTATCAACGATTTTCACATTATTCAACTTATCTTCTTTTTCTTTTTCCTTTTTTTTTTTATAATAATAGTATCGCACGTACGTAGTTTTATTTATTATGAACCGTGGCCTAATGTAAATATAAAATCACGTTTGCGAGATGGAAGAGACGAGTGCAGTTTCGAGTGTATAAGGAATGAAATTTACGAATTAAGGAAGGGAAATTTTGCAGTAAAGGAACAGAAGTTGGACGAGAGTCACGCGAATTATCTTTTGTTTATGGCAAGAGTGAATTTTTACAATTGACAATTGGAATTCTTTTTTTTAACGATCGTCATTTCTAACAACACTCGGACGAGCAAACATATCGCCAGATAGGCTATTAAATTTTAGATTTAAATTACGATTAGTCGTGAATTATTATTTAAAATGATGCGAAAACGATGCGCTAATAGAAGAATTTCGCGATTAACATTAAGCTTATCGCATCGGTAATTGCAATGAAGCGATAAGTTAATTAAGGATGAATTAGAGCGTGGATCGAGAGAAGCTGAGTAATAGTGTAACGTGTAAAAAGAAAAAAAAAAAAAAGAAAAATTACACGTCGAAACATGAATATTGAACGATATTGATTCGTTAGCAGATTCTTTACAGATTCGTATAGAATATTTTAATCGATTTAATTAATTACCTATCGAATAAAGTCGAGAAAGAAATTCTTGTTTTATATGCATATAACTCCTTTTCCAAATATATTCTTTAATCGAACCTCGCCAGAAATGGAAAATGGGAAGACAATCATCTCGATGGATAATTTTTAAACGCTGTTAAATATTTTACATCGTCGATCGATCGAGAATTTTATTCGACTATCTCATTCTATTGACACGGTTCGCCAGCAACGATAATCGGAAAGTTTCGAAGCGGAAGCGACGATCCTCGTTTAACAGCTAATCGAAGCAAACGAGTCGTTCGTGCAACGATACTTCCTTTCGCGAAAGCTCACACGATGCCTACAAAGTTAAGATCTTGCAAAACGTTAATTGCAAATTCAAGATAAGAAAAAATCTTGGAATTTTATTAATGGAAAAAAAAATCCGCAAGATTCAATCCAAACAAGATTAATCAATTCATTTAATCCGTGTAAACCTGCCTCTTACTTCGTAAAATCGTTCGATTGTTGCAAATTTCATGCAAGAAGAAGAAGAAGAAGAAGAAAAAAAAGAATCTAATTCAACGAAACAAATCGTACTCAACTTTCCAGTTAACTGAAAGTACTTGGCAACTTTCTAAGTACGTATCGGTAATATATGGACGAGATATCTGCGCGAACTCTAAAACTAAAATCGAGTCCAAGGATTCGCGTCAGTTATATAATATCGCGAGCGAAATCGTTCCTCTTCGCCTATCAATTACTTGCGTAACGATATCCCCCCCCCCCCCTCCGAATTCGTCACGATTTTTCGATCATCATTCCCGCTTCGAGGATTGTTTCGAATCGAAAAGATAAATTTTACGAACAAATATCCAAAATCTCGAATTTTGTTAAGCGCATTCGAGAATATTAATCCATTTATGCGAGGTTTCGCGGGGCAAAGCGCAACAGGAACATTCAGGGCGATAATTATCGTACGAAAACATTAATGGACGATATCCAGGAACCGCAAAGTATTTAACTTTTCCACACGGTCACTCGCGGTCAACGTGGAGTACCGTTGCACGTTTACTGTTGT